CTTTTGGGGTTTTTTGGGGTGGTTCTTTTCTTTTTTTTTTTTTTTTTTTTTTCTTTAATTCTGTTTCCCTGGTACAGGAAGCTCCCTGGGAGCAGAAACTCCTCCTTACTTCCCATCTCGCCTTCAGCCACCCGATGGTGCCAGATGCTTCCATTGCCTGGTGGCATTAGTCTGTAACCGCAGAGGTCCCTGCCAGCACACAGTATCCGGGGTTGATCCAAAGTGAATTTCAGTGACATCAACCCCTCTTCCTGTCCTCCTCTGTCCCCTTCTCTTCCCAGTTGGCAGGTGCTCCAAGACTGTCAGTTAATTTTAGTATTAGCCTAAGAAAGGTTAATTAGGAAGGCAAAATTTTAAAACGTGTAATTAATCCCAGAGCCAAACAAAAGAATGTGGATTATTTGCATTATTGCAGTCTTTGAGTAGGGCATAGCCAAGGTTGAGTAGACTTGTGCAGACTCGCTGTTTTTTTTTTTTTAATAATTTACTTTTATTTAATGTACATAGTTGTGTTGCCTGCAGGTATGTCTATATGTGGGAATCAGATCTCCTGTGAGCTGCCATGTGGGTGCTGGGAATTGAACCTGGGTCCTTTCGAAGAACAGCAATGCTCTTAACCACTGAGCCATCTTTCCAGTAGCCCCAGACTCACTTTTGAAGTGTAGGGCTGTGTAGACAAGAGACAGGAACAGGTGGGAGCCTCTCTGAGAGAGTTGAAGAGACATTCCTGTGTCCTGTCCAGGATGGTTCTTTCCAGGCTTCTGTGGTAAGCCCCTCAAGTGGTTTCTAGAGTTTTTTTTACCCACTCACCCTTGACTCATTGTCATTCCGTTTAATCTAAATGAGACATCAGAACCATATCCCACTTAGAAACTTCTAAATGTGCCTAAAGGTAAAGGCCAAGCCCTTTAATGGAGCCCACAAGATCCCCCACAGTTGGGCCTCACACTGCCTGACTGTTTTTCTTTCTCACCGCCCTCCTGGCTGTCACCCAGGCTCCTTGTTACAAAGCACACTGTTCCTGGAAGTCTCAGCCTGAATGACACTTTGGGGGCTTTCCTGTTGACACTTACCTTATTTTCTTTTAATGATCTGTATTCTTTTCTCGTAACAGAGACACTGAGCTCTCCAACGATACTCTTAAATTTTCTTTTTCTTTTCTTTCTTTTTTTTTCTCTCCTTACCCTTTCCTTGACTTAAGCCAAGCATCCTGCCCGATCTGCTATAAGAGATGGTCGATACTTGTTGAGAGAAATTCATCAGTGCTAGCTTTCAAAGGTGATGGCATCGGGCTTTGCTCATTGAAACGCAAGCTCACCCAGCCTCCCTGAAGGAGAGGTGAATCCCTAGTGGAATACCTGAGGTCGGCTGTTGTAACCTTGTAGCTGAGGCTCTGAGGCAGGTGGCTTTAGGAACAGAGCTGAGACGGTGAATGACTCAACCTGAGACTGACAGCTGCTGGTCTCTGCTTTGGCTGATTTCCCCCTTTGCAAATGGTTATTGGCAATTGAAACTGCAAATCTACTAGCTGCTCCCCTATGTAAATTGCATTTACATTTAAATTGTGCATTCTTCCCAAGGATGGGGTTAGTAAATAACCAGCAGATTAGGCTTGAGGAGAGGAAATTGTGCCCCATATCAAATCTGAGACTGAAGTGACATCTGGCTTTTACTATTTCCATTATTTTGGTTTAGTAACAGCATGTGGCATTAAGGGAAGAGAAAATTGGATCTACATTTTAATGAAAGGAGGAAACTCAGGATTTAGATACCTTATCATATTGAATACCTAGTCGACTGGCAATTAAACTTGCCAAAAAACTGGGATAAAATGTCTTCACAGCTATGAAGACAATGAAAGCAGAACAAGCCAGTGCCCAGAACCACAGGGATAAGACTAACAGGAAGGCTGTGCACATTGACGCCAAATATTTCAGGATTTCACAGGCCACAGGAATTCTCAGATGGAACAATGCTGACAATAGCAACATGAATATGCATGAGGGGAGCTTGAGAGGATGGTCTGTTTGAAGACAAACGTGCAGGATAGCCAGCTCAACCCAGAGATGTTTGAAGTCAGCTGAGTTTAGCCCTGCTTGGTTTCAAATTCCAGGGGTTTGACCAAGAAAATATAAAAAATGCCTGCCTCTTTCCAACAATCTCACTGTTGGAAACGGAAGCGATTCCACCTGCTGGCTGATTTTTGTTGAAAGCAATTCTGGGCCATGTAAACAAAATGCTTCCGCATCCTAATAAAGCAAGCCTATCATTTATTTGCTTTGATTGAAACAAAAGTGTCAATTTTCTAAGTCTTTGTCTGGTGAATTCAGTGTTTGGATGCTGATAAGGGATCACATCGCATGTTTGGAAACTGGTGCTCTATTCAGAACTTAGGAGTCACAGTCTGGAAGCATTCCTTGCCATCCACCCCAAGATGCTTCAGTATTTCCCAGGCCTGGAAAAGGCTGGTTACAGGGCAACATAAGTGTAAAAGGGATGGAGCCTCCAGGCAGAGGGAACGATATGGAAACTCTGAGGCCAAGGCTCACAAATAAATAAAATAATGGAAATGTGTAGGGTTTACTGGGTGCCAAGCTCTTCGTGTGTTTTAATTCACAGAGGCCTCATGTCAGTCTCACGGGGAGAGTGCCAGCTGTCATTGCCACTGCAGGTGGAACTCAGTCATCTGCAGATGGTAAGAGATGGACTGGGGTTCCACTTTAGGCTGGCTCGGCTCCTCAGTCTCCTTTAAACCCTTTCAGATGGTTCCATTCCCCCTGGTGTTTAATGAACACACTGTGTTTTCTCACAGTTACATTTTGTCTTGCATAATTGTTTTGAAAACCACAGCAGTTTTTCATGAAAGACTCCAGCTACTAGTACGATGGCTCTTTCCCTAAAATAAAGCAGCAATAAGATCTACGTTTTGCAATGTAATGATAATATATGTCTCAGCTGTCTTTCAGGTATCCAGAGAATGGAATGAGACATGAACGTGTTTTAAAGAGGCCCATGCCATGAGACTTCCGTGTGGTCAGAACATGCCCTCCGTCCTGATTTTTCTTTCTTTTAGTTAAAAGACAAAACTTTCTTTTGCATATGCATGTGTGGTATGTTTGGACACTTGCATGACACAGTGTGCGTGCGTGCGTGCGTGCGTGCGTGCGTGCGTGCGTGCATGCGGGTGTGCGTGTGTGGGTGTCTGTGTGTGTGCGTGTGTGTGTGTGTGTGTGTGTGTGTAGGTTGGAGGATAGATAACTTTCAGCTGCTCATTCTTTCCATGTGAGTCCTAGGAATGGAACTCAAGCCATCAGGCTTAGTGGCAAGTGTCTTTATCCAATTAGCCATCTTGCCAGCCCCAGATTCCTCTTTTTCTTTTTAAATTTTATTTATGTATTTTTTAAATGTATGAAGGATCTGTCTGCGTGTATGCCTGCACACCAGAACAGGGCATCAGATCCCACTATAGATGTTTGTGAATCACCATGGGGTTGCTGGGAATTGAACTCAGGACCTCTGGAAGAGCAATCATTGCTCATTGCTGAGCCATCCCTCCTCCTCCTTCTCTTCCTCCTCCTCCTCCTCCTCCTCTTCCTCCTCCTCTTCTTTTTGGTTTTTTGGGACAGGGTTTTTCTATGTAACTGCCTTAGCTGTCTTGAAATTTGCTTTGTAGACCCTTGAACTTACAGAGATCCACCTACCTCTGCCTCCAGAGTGCTGGGATTAAAGGTGTGAGCTACCACATAGGGCTCTTATTTTCTTAATCGAAAAATCCTTCATGTGGATCCAAGTCTCTTCCGATTTCCTATTTCCCTGTGACTTTTGATGATGGCCTGGATGCTGGCATTTGTTCGACTTCTCGTTTCGCCTCCACATTGCTTGGCACCATTTAGTCCCAGGCAGCTCCTCACTCCCTGTGTAAGATGGTAACTTGTAGCCTCTTCAAATATTCACCACGGCACTCTGCCTCTGAAGTTAGCCAGTGCCTCCTTCTGCTTGAACTTAGCTTAAGTCCATCAAAGTTGCTGGGCTGGAGGGATGCTGCTGATGTCACACTGTCAGTATTGTGATTGTCACCATATCTAACAGGCAAAGAAGGGACAGTGTTCATGGCAACCCTTGGGTGAGACTCACCCAGCTGAGGTAACCAGCCTGACTGCAGACTTCAGACAACCATGTGAAGGGGTGAGTGGATTAATCATCCAGTTGGATTCCATTTGAATATTTGTCTGCCATATGTGTGTTCCCTCTAGGCAATTGTCTAATGTCACTTGAAATTGATGAGAACTCTTTGGAAGGTTATTTTTGGGAAGTCAGAGAAACAACAGACAGCTGTTCTCTGGAACAAATGTCTGACGGATCTGCCTTCCATACCAAATAAATAAATGAGTAATAAATAAATAAATAAATAAATAAATAAATAAATAAAATCTGAGCTGCTGAGCCACAGTGCCCTTTTCCTTTCCATCATTAGACTGATTTCTGGAAAGGTTCATCCAATTTCCCAAACACATGGAGAAGGCAGAAACTAATGTTAACCAAGACCATGTTTGCAGAAAAGAAGCATAGTTTGAAGCACAAAATTGCCCAAGCAAGCGTTTCTGAGTGCTCTGTCATAGGTCACACAATTCCCTGGCTTTTTCTAGATTGTTTACGATGTACTTCCTAATTGGACATTGATGGAGCACCAATAAAAGCAAAGTCATTTCTTAAAATGGGACTCTATCTTCCCCGGGCTGAGTGCTTAGCTTGTTTTCCCTGCAATATTAAAATCCTTGAAACCTGTTAGAAACGAGGTGCAATAAACAAGTCCTGCAAGGCAAGCCCATGAAAAGGCCTCACAGAGGAGTGACTCTGCCTTTCTCCACCTCATTCAGTGGTCGATGGGGTGGGAATCAAGAGATAAAGGGTATAAAATAATTGACTTGAGGCTGTACAAGTTTAGACAGATCAAGGTTTCACAAACCGATATAACCTGATCTGTGTGGAGAATTAAGCATTGGCTTTTTCCAAATGCCAGTCCATCAACTACAGTGTTTTCTAGTCCCTAATTAAAAAAAAAAAACCAAAAAACACTGTTAACTTGATGGCACAGCTCAGTAGGTAAAGGCCCTTGCCTGTCGACCTACATAGTGGAGGAAAAGAACTGATTAACAAGTTGTCCTCAGACCTACATACGTGTGCTGTGTGTGGTACCCACCCATCTTCACAAGTGCTTATGCACATGTGCACACAATACATGTAAATAAAAAAAAATTTAAGGCCTTTAAAAACTGCATCTCATTGTGCTCAGTGTTAAACTGCAGATGTGAAAACCACTACAGCTTGTGATCTCTGAGCTCCTGGTAGCCTCAGGAAAAGGAGGGCAGGGAAGAAATAACTTTTCTAGCTCACTGAAAACAAATCTCTCTCACCTCTTTCATATTTAATTAACGGCTTATCTTTCACGGTGCTGGAGTCCTGAGTAGCATCTTCCAGAGCAGTCACGGAAATATTCTGCTTGTTTTACCCAGGTAACTTTTCTTACAGTAGTTGAGTAGAAAAGTTCGAAATCACTGATGCTCCCAAGTTTTGCCTCAAGGCTACCACTCCCAGCAGGACTCTGGCAGAGAACAGAAGTGGCAATATGTGCCTTACCACCTGTGCTGTAGTGTGTATTTGTAAAATTATCTTCATGAATTTAATATTTTCCTGCTTCAAGGCGTCCACTGTCAGAGAAGAGGCCAAGTTTCTATCAGTATGGTGGATGTACAGTGTTTGAGTGACAATGAATTGCGCAAGCAACTTAAGAAGCTTGGATTTTCACCTGGTCCAATAATACGTATGTTTACAGTTAATATTAGGGGGTGTCCATTTGGTTGCTTACAGACTACTTCCAAAGTTTAAATCAGAAAGGAACATATGCAGTAAAAACCACTAAAAATATAAAGAGGAAAACAGAAAGCCATATGGAGGGAAGGTGTAAGAGACAGCCCCCGGTCCTTACAGATTGGGAGGGAGATGGTTTTTTTTTCCTCCATTTTTTTATTTATATCAGAAATAAGATTGTTTTACATGTCAATCCCAGTTACCTCCCCTCCTCCCTTGCCCCTCACTAACACCCTACCTATCCCATACCAATTCTGCTCCCCAGGGAGAGAGAGGTCTTCCATGGGGGGGTCTCCTTTGGGATAGGGCTTAGGCCCGCCCCCGTGTGTCTAGGCTGAGGTAGTATCCCTCTATGTGAAATGGGCTCCCAAAGCCCACACCTATGCTAGGGATAAGTTCTGATCTACTACAAGAGGCCCCATTGATTTCCAAGGCGGGAGATTTTTTTTATTTGTTGTTTTGTTTCAATGCTGAATATTCGATTATTACATTAGTCATCTTGGGTTTTTGGATGTGCCCTATATTTTCATCATCTCTATGGTCATAGGTAACCATGTCTCACTTGCTCTCAGGTGTATCTAACACCTGGTTATTGATAATCTGTAGGCATTCTCTGATTCTATAATAGTAACTTCAGGGGCTGTGGGGTCCACCTCATGATTAAAAGCCACAATTAGCCAATAATGTGAGGTCCTAAAAGAAAGATCTGGGTTGTAAAATAACTTCTGAATTCTGTGTATGCAACAAGGAATAATTTAATTCTCCATGTTGTTTCTCAGCTTCCACCAGAAAAATGTATGAAAAAAAGTTAGTGCAATTGTTGGTCTCGCCTCCCTGTGAACCTGTCATGAAGAGACTTAAAAAGCTGCATGAATTTGAGGACAGTGATGAAAGTGAAGGTACCATTGTCTGTTATGCTGCCAGATGGCAGCTTCACATTTATTAATACCCTATCCAGCATGACTTACACACTGTAAATGATGTGCATGCTGACCTGTGAAATAGCCGTGTGGCCTCTTTTTGCACAGAGCCTACGAAATAAGCCCTTAGGCTGCAGAGGAATCTGAACAGCAATGTCTGTATTCACATGGGAGACAGGGCTGGATAAGATGTCGGGGGAAGGACTAATTAGTGTGTGCATCCTTTACCTAACTAGACTCGGCTTTTGTGTGGATTCCTTAAAATCAACTCCTATAAGCAGGTTCCAGCCTCCTGTGAGGTCTTAAACTCATACATTTCACTATGATTTTCTTTGGATTAGGTGATTTCATGCCCAGAAAGAAGGATGAATCAGCTTGTACTTCTCTGAACTTCTCACATACAAATGGCTGACAGTAGTTTTGGAGACTGGAGTGGGTGGATTGGAAGCTGTGGTCCCTAGAATCCCTTTCCTTTGCTCCCAGTGGCCTTGGCCCCAGCAAGCACATTATGTAAAGCAGCATAAATCATACACCCAAAGTAGTTTCTGTCTCCTGGGTTCTCAGAGGATGGCCTTGGAGGGCCCCACTATAAATCCCACAAACATTTCCTAGGAGTCCCCTGTGAGTCCAGAGAAACAGCACCTAATGTGGCCACCCATGTCTTTTGGACAGGATGAACATCAAGCCCTTTAATCCTCACAACACTTAGCCAAAGTCAGAAAGCTACAGTGATGTGGTGGTTTGAAAATAAGTGGCCCTTAAAGGGAGTGGCACTATTAGAAGGTGTGGCCTTGTTGGAGGAAGTGTGTCACCATGGGGGTGGGCTTGAGGTTTCCTATGCTCAAGCTATGTCCAGTGACACAGTTCACTTCCTGTTGCCTGAGGATTAAGATGTACAACTCTCAGCTCCTTCCCTAACAACGTGTCTGTCTGCCACCATGTCCCACCATGATGATAATGGACTAAAACTCTGAACTGTATGTCAGTCCCATTTAAATGTTGTCCTTTATAAGAGTTGCCATGGCCATGGTGCCTCCTCATAGCAACAAAACAGTGACTAGGACAAGACACTAGTCCCAAATCACATCATTGAGGAGTGGCCCTAGGAGACGAGCATACATGGGATATGGCATGAAGAGCCAGACTACCTAGCTTCACCATCACTGTCTAGCCTCACATAGCAGGAATTCAGTGTATAGGGTTAGGGTAAAAAAAAAAAAGACAGAACTGCATGTGCTGGAGGTTTATTTCAATGTAGGGCACTTGCTTCAAAATACAATGTGTTCATCAAGTATAGGCAATCAGGTAGAAAGCACAATTTTAAGTGGCAGTCCTGAGTTCAAGTCTCAGCTCTGTCACTGTGTGTGTGTGTGTGTGTGCGTGCATGCGTGCATGCGTGCATGCGTGTGTGGGTGTGTGTGTGTGTGTGTGTGTCTGTCTGTCTGTCTGTCTGTCTGTCTGTCTGTACATATGCCTGTGAACCCAAGTGGTTCTCAGGGCCTTGTGCATATTGTATTTTGAAGCATGTGTGATACATACATAAGGATAATTTTCCATTCTTATTAATAGTTCAATTAAACAGTGCAATTGCTCTCTGGAAAAAAAAACTTGATATTGGATGGACACAGATTTATTCAATGGGCACAGCCAGCTAATTTGGAAAAGACCATAAGATTTAGGGATAGATCCCACTGGCCAGTAGGTAGGCCACTGTACAAGTAACAGTGGGACAAATAGCTGTCTCAGACTGAGGTCTTCACTGTTTCCTGCCCTCAGAAGAAGCTCCGGGAACTAGTTCATCCACAGAAACTGTTCAGGGCTGCCCATAAAGTCAAAGCTGTGATCAGCTCAAGCTAGTTCAACCCTTCTCTCTGCCCCTGCAATTCCCAGGACACAGTTTCCACAGACATGTGTTTCTGCTGGGACTGAAGAAACTTGCTTTCCATTGGTGAGCTTGACTATTTTCAGCTGGGTCTACCCAGGTTGGAGGTAGAGATTCTACTTCTCATGAAGTCCTGGGTTGTCACCACCAGTGCTTGCTCCAATCACAAAACTGTCCGCCAAAGAAGGCCTGAATTGTGTATTTAAGGTCAAGTTTGTCACAATAAGCTTCCCAGTGCCATTAGAATGAACCCTAGGTTATGTGGGCTCATTCTGTCTCAGCTTGGACCTAGGTCACAAAAGCACCTACTGGGGTGAGGGGTAGGACTGGAGAGGACAGCAATGACAGGAAGCTCACTAGGTTACACAACCAGTGATTAGATTTTTTTCATTTTCACTCATTGTTTTGGGCAATGGGTGGACTTAGCTTTAATTGTTCAGCCTCTTTTGTTTTTTTGAGGGGGAGGGTGGGAGATAGGCTTTGACTATGTAACCCAAGGTCAGGAATTCTCTATGTGGACCAGGATGCTCTTGGACTTGCAGTGATCCTCCTGCCTCAGCCTCACTACTGATGGAATTACAGGTGTGTGATTACAAACCTGGCCACCAACCTTCTCTCTAACTTCTTGGATATCCCACTTGAGATGTATTGCCCTGAAGTGGTGGAGGATGTCTGTAATTCCATCTCTGGGGAGGCTGAGATAGGAGGCCCTCAGCTGGGAAGTGGAGCCCGGAATAAATAGTGAAACCCTGCCTTAAAACAACAAAAGAAAAACAAAATACCTCTATGAAATGCAAGGCTGAATGCTCATCACCCCGGCGTCCTCCTTAGATCCCAAAGTGTCACTATGGGCTGCTTCTGCTGCTGGCTGTTCCTCTACTCAGAAAGCCATTGGCTTCCCCTTCATTAGGGTGCTGTTCTAGACAGGAGGCAGAAAGTCCTTCCTCTCCCGACATCCAGGGACAGACAGGGCTCACAGCTGGTTCGCAGGGACGATGCTAGACTGAAAACAGCTGCCCAGAGAGCAGCTCTCAGAGGCACGCAAACATGACAGCCAGCCCTGTCCCCCAGGAGGCCTGAGCACGTTTCCCTCAGCTCCTGCAGCTCTGGAGGAAAGCTCTTTTCTCCACAAAGGAAGGGAGGGCATTGTGAGTTTCTTCCCCTCATGAAAGCACACCGTGGCTGAGGAAAAAACAAAAGGAAAACCCAAAAAACAAAACCACTTAGTGTTTATTTCTTCTGCTGTCTTGTATTTTCGCATGGCCTATTTTCTTTTTGTTTCCCCAGATCCAGCAGTAAATATCATTTTGAAAGGAAATATCAAATTCTCAAAGGACAAAGTCAAAGAATGCAAAAAAGTACGTACAATTCTAATGTGTGAACATTTCTACACACGCGTTAAACACAGGGATTTGCATTTTTCAGATATAAAGAAGTCCACTGTATTTTGTTAGAGTCTCAAAGTCCTAGTCTAAAACTGATCTTTTAATGAAACATTTTTACCTTTCGAAATGATTTTTTGTGTTCTAGGCAAAACCCAGAGTACCATAGTTCCTTTTGCCCCACAGTGACAGACCAACCGTGTACTTCACGCTTCCCTAGCACCGTTCGCTCACATGTACACACTGAACTTGGTTCTAGGCCCACTGTGAACACAGGACAAGTGTGAGTCTCTAGTCTCCTCTCCTTGACAGCCAGATACTGAGATGTCGTTTCCACCCCCACCACGGTGAGGCTGGAGGCCAAGCATGTGAAGGGACTCCCTCAGGAGAGACCTGGCTGGTTTAGGGGCCCTGGCCACTGCTTGTTTGGGCTTGCTTTGGGGAAACCAGTCAGCTGTACCAGTCAGATCTTGCAGGCCTGGGGGTTGTCGAGAGAAGGCAGGCAAAGCATGGGATTGGCACTCTCTGAGGGAATCTCACATTGGCTTCTTTCTCTGCTCTTTGCCCCGTACTATTTTGAGGTCTGCCTGGTGCCTCTGCCTTTTTGCTTCTCAGGCTCGCCACTCCGTGGGTTTCCTTCCTGACTACCGTCTTCCTCTCTAAATGTCCTTATGCTTGAGGCCTCTAGCTCCCGTCCTTTCCTCTTCTCTTTTGGGCTTCCCTTGACACCTCTCCTGTGATAATTCCTCCAAGACCCTTCCCAGGCCCTGGCCTGTGACAGGTTGGTTTATTCGGTCTCTAAACTTCCCTCCTCCCTGCATCCAGTTATCAAATGATCCCTCACACTCATGAGTATTTTGCAGGTTGGAGGGATGTGTTCATACCTGGCCACATGGCCATTCCCCTGCTACTGTACAGGATAGATAGACATGGGGAGCAAACACATTCTCACTCCCATCCAGCCACACAGGTCTGCTTACTGCTCACCATCGCTGTCCAGGCTTAAGGCCCCAGACCTCTGGTGGAATATCCTTTCCTCATAACTCCTTATAAATAGCAATTTGCAAATTCTAGAGTTTAGAACGGTGTTTTTTTTTTTTTTTTTTTTTTTTTTTTTTTTTTTTTTTTTAAACTTCTTACAGGCAGGGCCAGGTGGTTCATACCTCTGATCTCAGGAAACTGAAGCAGGACAGTCAGTTCCATGCTAGCCTGGGCTACGTGGCAAAACCCTATCTCCAAAAAAAAATACCAACCAACCAGCCAGCCAGCCAACCAACCAAGAAACCTGGAGCTGCCCATGTAACTCAGCAGCAAACACTGACTATCATGTAAAAGCTCTGGGCTCCATCCAAGACTTCCACCCTAGGGAAACCCCTCTTCCTCTTCTCACTGCTATCCCATTGCTAACAACTGCATTGTTACTGTTTTATTTGAACAATTGTGGAATCTCTCAAAGCAGGTTCTGCCTCTGACTTTCCCCAGTTCCAATGTACATCTACCATCAGAGGCTTAGTAACGCCACTCACTTGTTCTACCCCACCAGGACACTGGGGTACTTCCGGTTGCTTTTACCCCTCCTCATCCAGTGGAAGCACCTGGTGTGTTCTCTACAGCATCTTCTGCGCCTCCATACCAGCTGGTCCTTAAAGCTGGAGTTCTTTTCATTCTTCTCATGCCCGGCTCTTTTTCTCCCTGCTAAGATCCTGTGATTTTGTAAGAGATGCTTCAAAGGCCACTCGTGTGAATCCCTTTGAAATGACACTTTATCCCATTCATTAGCGGAGCCATCACAGGGTCTTGCACCTGACAGGAGCCTAAAATGTACTCACCAAGCCTATCACACAGTTTTAGCAACAAATAGGTTAGTTGCAATTGGATTCTGGGATTTAAACTACCTGCAGAATTTAAATACATGAAAAGAAACCCCAGGTAAACAGGACTATAGCAGCAGCCTCCCATTCAGAAACAGTTCAGATTTGATGAAGTGATTCTGAGCGAGCATAGCATTTTCTAAAAGGATTTTTAAAAAGTCTACTAAATGGCTCACTAAAGGAATCCTTTCTATTCACTAAACCTCAGTTCCTCAGAACACCCTTTTGTCTAGATCTTACAGAGATGGTCACAGAGGAAAAAGCAACCTTCTTACTTGAAACACCTAAGAGTGGATGCGGCGGCCTGTGGTCTTTGCTTTACATAAACCCGAGATAAAGCCGCATCGGCAATAGAACTAAATGGAAAGTTGGTGATGGCACAGAATCTTTTAATGTGAAGGATTTATATAAGCCATTTTGATGCTTCAAAAGGCCTCCACGACATCTGTTCCACTTTATATCTGGAAGTAAACGTAAATAAGCACTCAGAGTTCCTTGTAAAGGTGGTGTAGAAAGTGTGTTTATGTAGACTTTTGCTGTATGCACTATTTGGAGCAGTGGTCTGCACCAAATAATCTTGTCAGTGCCTAAGAAGGGAGGGGTTGTATTTGTTCAAAACCCTCTGCTTTCCTTTTAGTAGTGAAGTACAGCTGTCTTGAGACTCGGACTATGACAGTTGCAACAGCCTACTTAACATAATGAATTTTGTCAAACAACATATATAGCTGCAGATTTGGTCACTAAGACCACCCAGAAAGCCAGATCAGGGCTAGGGTGCAGTTCAGTGGTAAAGTGCATGTCTAGCAAAGGTTCTTTCTAGTGTCTGGGTGAGAGCTAGGTTTGCATGTACAAATCAGGCTCCCTGTCTCCTCCTTCAAAGGGGTTTACAGTAGCTAACAGAGCTAACAGCCTTCACTGGCAGCTTGTAGAAAATGGGATTTGAGTAAGGTGCCTGTGTGATTTATTACCAAACAGGATGAAGAAAGAATGGGGGTTACTAGTCAGGGAGACTGGAACCACAAGAGTAAGGCAGGGCTGTCTTGGTCAGAAAAAGGACACATGGTCATCTGGGGTCAGTTCCAAGGACTGAAGTATCTGTGTGTGTACACCTCACCTGGAGAGGGATGCTGTAGCCAAAAGCCAGAGGGCAGGTGGCAAGCTGGTAGGGCATTATGGAATATTAACTTAGGATGTATTACATTCGTTTATGCTGTGGGACATTTATTTAATGATGCAAAGATGTGTTGCATTCTTTTTATGTAGGAAATTCATTGGGGGAAGGGAAAGAAGAGAAGGGAAGAGAGAGGGGGGAGAGAGAAGAAAGAGCAAGAGAGAGACAGAGAAAGTGTGTTTCGTTCTTTTATGCTGCATTTGTTTAACTCTGTGAAGCTGTGTTTCTTTACCTGTCTAAAACACTTGATAGGTCTAATAAAGAGCTGAACAGTCAATAGGAAGGCAGGAGAGAGGATAGGTGGGGCTGGCAGGCAGGGAGAATAAATACGAGGAGAAATCTGGGAAGAGATATCTAGGAGCAAGAGAAGGAACAAGAAAAGATGGGGCCAGTCACACAGCCAGCCATGGAATAAGAAGGAAAGAAAAGATATACAGAAATAGAGGAAGGGGCTGGGCGGTGGTGGTGCACGCCTTTAATCCCAGCACTCAGGAAGCAGAGTCAGGCGGATCTCTGTGAGTTTGAGGCCAGCCTGGTCTACAGAGAGAGTTCCAGGCCAGCCAAAGCTGTTGTTACACAGAAAAACCCTGTCTCGAACACCAGCCCCCAAAGAAAGAAAGAAAGAAAGAAAGAAAGAAAGAAAGAAAGAAGGAGAAATAGAGGAAGGTAAAAGCCCAGGGGCAAAAGGTAGACGGTGTGTGTGTGGGGGGGGGGGACGGGTAATTTAAGTTAAGAAAAGCTGGCTAGAAACAAGCCAAGCTAAGGCTGGGCATTTATAAGTAATAATAAGTTTCCTGGGTATTTATTTTGGGAGCTTGGTGGCAGGCCTTCCAAAGAGTAAAGAGCAACAAAACAACCAACAACAGTAGGAGGGTCTTTCTATGTCTGTCTGTCTGTCTGTCTGTCTGTCTGTCTGTCTCTCTCTCCCTCTCTCTCTCTCTCTCTCTCTCGTGTGTGTGTGTGTGTGTGTGTGTGTGTGTGTGTGTGTGTTGGCGCTCTGCTGCCCTTTTTGAGCTGTCTTTGTTTCTGCCCAGAGATAAACTGCTCTTGGTGGCCAGAACCCCAGTTTCTTTGTTTACTCTCATTTGCCACCTTTCCTACACATTTCACCCCAAGTTTCTCGTACCCCCCTCCCCTGCCTTGGAATCTGCTTTTCCAGTCAGCCTCTCCAACCCTTTGCCCAAGAGTTTTCTCTCTAGGTTGTAAAGTGTGGTGTTAGAGTACTTCATCTTTGCTCTGAGTTCAATTCAACTCCAAGCATATGAAGAGGGACTTCCTGGTCCCCACTGGCCTCCTTGGAAGGAACCTTGGTCCTACACTGAGGTAGATGGTCTCTTTCTCTCATTTTCTATGCCATACCTGATGTTTTACCTCTTAGACAGACATTACAATGTTGAGAGACAGTGCTTTGGTCATTGTGAGTGGACAATAGCTCAGAAGACAGACAGAACTTCTGCTCAGGTTCAGACTATCAGTTGAGTGTCACTTCTGGGCATAAGACATTGTCATAAATCTGCTTGAAAAAGAATGTGGGTACACAGAGAGGCATAGTTACTATGCTGAAGAAATTTTTTTCTGTTTGAGACAGCATCTCACTATACAGCCCTGGTTGGCTGGAATTAGCTGTGTGGATTAGGTTGGCCTTGAATCCACAGATCCACTTGCCTTTGCCTCCTGAAGTGCTGGGATTAAAGGTGTATGCCACCATGCCCAACTATGAAAAAACTTTAAAATGTGCTCTAGATGCAAAAAGTCATATCAAAAACTATGGGTGCTAGAGACAGACTTCTAGGGTTCAACCCCAGCTCTGGCTCTCACTTGGCTAAACCCCTACCCTTGCTGTGTGTGAGCTCACCACCTGTAAGTAGGCTAATAATTGTTTCTGCCTTGTAGTGCATTGTGGAGGTGGAGTTCAAGCATATAAATCAGACTGG